AACAACCCTGCTCGAATGGCGGCAAAGGTATTTCGACAGAGGTGCAGGAGATTTGTGTGACAAGACAGTAGCAGAAGACTCGTAGGCATGTCAACACTAGTACTGTGAGACGATTCGTGCGCTACAGTGAAGTCGACGCTGCTATCTGTTCGACGCCTTTTCACTGGCGATCGGCCTGTCGTCTCAGATATGCGGCTTCTTGAGTCATCAATGTCCAACTCTTCGACCGGGCTTAGGCAGCTGCTGGTCACAGTGCTAAACTTGAGGTTGTCGTGTGAGCCGAACGTAGCGGAGTGATTGGGTCTGACGATATCCACGAGCAGCCGGTGGTAGGTTTGGAGGCTTTGCATCATAAAGACGACAGTATCACAGAGCGTTCGGTTCTCCTCCGGTGGTGTAGCCAAAGCCGTCAGACCCAAAGCCGAGTCATTGTTCGTAAAACCAGTTCCTGTAGAGGTTGCCGCGCCCAACTGTCGGGACAGCTGCATGTTCAAATCTGACAACTCTTGCATTATCTCTTGGCGCATCGGTGAATAGCGACTGCGTCCGTTGAGTGGCTCGGTGAAACCGATTGCTGCTTGTTCGTATTCGGTGCGAGCTGGAATAGAATGGTCCGCGGAGAGATCCATATTTGGAATGAGAAAGTGTTCGGTCGGTAGGTTTACCGATTCGTCGTCGAGCGTACCTTCCCCAGGCAGTGCAAAATCGAAGGGGTCAAGATACTGAACCGTAACACTTTGAAGCGTTGGGTCAACCGGTGTGTCGTCGAGATCATGTACTAGCCAGGCATCGGTATCCATGGTAAAGTCGACAGCGGTTCTCGTTTGAGATTCAGCTTCGGGAGGAGGTGATGATCGTGTAGTTTGGGATGGGTGGTGAGCACTGCCGCTGTTCTCTCGAGGCTGCTCCTTGTCTGCCCGTCTCGGTCTTCCCATACGTACCCCGGTATCGATGATACATGTTGCACCAGCTTTCTGACACCTCTCGCAAGGGGTCTTAGAGTTCGAGCTCCGTATGCATCGGAGCTTTTGGCCTCGACACCTGTCACAAGCCAGCTGTTGGGACTTTTCTTTTCTCGGGTTCTCCACTAGAGACCCTGACTTGCAACCCGAGAAGCAGCTGGAAGAATCTAGGCGTGACATGTTGGGAACAAAGAAAGGCCAGCGTGTAAACCATGCGAGGACATGCTAGGTTGGTAACACCTAGACAGGTAAGGACGAACGATGGTGATAGTGCGAACTATATGCCGTGCCTCCCCAATGTATAAACCAAGGCTAGTCTTCAGCTACAGGAGTAAGTGAGACTTCTCGGCAAGCTTGCGATAGTGCTATGACCGTCTTACGTGAGGTTAATGGTGTACAGCAGAAAACCTTGTATGACACGAGAAGGCTGATAGGATTGACGCTATTGTTGTCCTGTCCCGCAGACCAGGTGCTTATCGCAGTGCCCAGAGCGGCGTACTGCTGCTCGGCGGAGAGTTGGTGGTGCAGACACAGCAACCACTCAATCAAGAAACCTGCTCTCCCGAGCGTTGCGGAATGTGAAGGATCAGAATGCTAGCTGAGGTGTGCAGTTGTGGCATAATTGCGATGTGTTAGTGGATGGAAGAAAAAGCCAATGTCCCTAAGGGCATCCCTTTGGCTCCTCGTCCAATTGACGGGATGTAATGGGACTTGCCGTAAAGGATTCAAGGTCGCCGAGCAGCATGCATGGTAAATCGTTGGTACATTAAACGAAGGCGTGACAGTGCGACCCCAAAACGCGGGATACGGCGGCGGGCCGTTGGGCCACCCGCAGGAGCCACCCGTAGGCTGGGTGGGGATCTGATTGCGAAGTTACACCAGGACGCCTCTCACATGGGGAAGGACTTCTCCGCTACGACCTGAGGACGACTTTATCCTATTTTCGTCTTACTCGCAGCTCTCGTCATCTAATCGCGTCATATACTTGTTGGGTTTGGTAGAGTCAATATGTATATGAGACACGCGAATGTAGTATGCTTACCGGAAACGTTGCGCGGTGACCATCTGTGGCTGAAGATGTGGCTTGATATTACCCGCGCCGGCAAAAACGCCGGCACGCTAACCTAATCAAGGTACGGAATGTATACACCGGTGAAAGGAAGTGAGGTATCTACCAACATGCGTTTGGGGGCTTATTCACACTTGAACGCCGTAAAGGTCAGGCCACCTGCAGGAAGCCTGTCGACCGAGTCGAATCACTTCCACGTTCATCGTATCAACCGCGGAGGATCGCAAAACCCTGCGAGGCCGATCATACCCATCCAACGAAACCCTCCGCGGTGGTTACCAGACTTCATGCACCATTGAATACGTAGGCACACACAGCTTCTCCCATGTAACCGAAGGTGCAACTATTCCCAGGCGCTCCATCAACTTACTATACCAAGGTTTTAACACCGCCCGTTACTCACGCATCATTGTACTACAGCTCTGGTACCAGCCACACGGTCTACCTATCGTCCGACAGGTCCCAACGCTACTCAAACCTGACATCCTGGCTGTGCAAGATGACACAGCAAGATCCAGCCGTCCGGAACCCGGAGTCAAAACAAGCTTCGGTCGATGCACAGGATCCAACAACGGAGAAGAACCCGTCAAAGTTCCAGAAGGGTCCAAGGTTCTGGGCTATCATGGTTGTGCTCTCGCTAGTGAGTCTTCTCACGGCTCTGGAGGCCACAGTCACTTCGACGGTCATGCCATCGCTCGTCGCCGATCTGGGTGGGGGCGAAGAGTTCATCTGGGTCTCTAATGCATACTTCTTGACTATGTAAGGCTCTTTGGAACAAAAGGCTCACACTCGAGCGATGAACGCGGGAACTAATCTGTGTAGGACTTCTCTGATGCCCATGTATGGACAGCTCGCTAATGTATTCGGTCGCCGATGGCCAATGATCATATCCGCGGTCGTCTTCATGATAGGGAGCGGTGTTTGTGGCGGGTAAGTTGTCACTCCTCTGGTGCTCGAATCGCGATCTGGCTTTTCTCGTCAAGCTCGAAGTCTTTGCTGATGAGATGAATGCATAGAGCAACCAATATATCCCAAATGATCGGTGGCCGAGCAGTGCAGGGTATTGGAGCAGCAGGAGTCGCCGTCCTCTGCGAGATCATCATCTGTGACTTGGTACCACTTCGCGAGAGAGGTACCTACATGGGCGCCGTGTTTGGCATGGTCGGTCTCGGAGCTGCTCTTGGTCCTTTCTTCGGCGGACTGCTCGTGAGCTACAGCACCTGGCGCTGGGCTTTTTACATGGCTCTTCCAATTGGCGGTGCTGCAGTTATATTGTTGTTCCTCTTTTTGAAGGTCAAATACGATAAATCCCAGACTTGGGCCACCAAGGCTTCGAGCCTCGACTGGCTGGGCAACGCGCTTTTTGTCAGCGGCTGCGCTCCGGTGTTAGTTGCCATTGGCTGGGCAGGAGGAAGATATTCATGGTCCTCTTACCAAGTCCTCGTACCGCTCTTGGTTGGGTTGGCAACGTTGGGAGGCTTCATCGCACTCGAAGGTAATGCCCGCCTCACGCCAAATCCCATCATGCCGCTCCGGCTCTTTGGGAACTCTATGAGCGTCATCGTCTTTCTGCTCGCCTTTCTCCACGGCATGGTCACTATGTGGACACTTTACTTCCTCCCGGTATATTTCCAAGGCGTTCTCGCAGTAGATGCATACAACGCCGGCATATACCTTCTCCCCACCATCCTCGCACTTCTCCCAGGTGCGATCATCGGCGGGCTTCTACTTAGCAAGTTCGGCCGCTACAAGCCCATTCTCGTCACTGCCTTCGCCTTGATTGTCGCCGGATTTGGCGTGTTCACACTCCTGGATGAGACGTCGAGTGCAGGTGCGTGGGTGGGCTTTCAGGTGCTTGAGTCCTTTGGCGCGGGCTTCGGCATGGGGGCTATGCTTCCCGCGTTGCTAGCCTCTCTAACTGACAAGGATACCGCAGTAGCGACGGCCACTTGGGGCTTCATGCGAAGCTTCGGCGTCTTGTGGGGCGTGGCCATCGCCGGTACCGTCTACACCAACCGAGCTGCACAGCTGGCTCGCTCGGGGACTATCAGCGACACAACGGTAGCGGCTCTTTTCATGACGGGTGGCGCGTACGGCGCAGCTGAAGTCGATTTCCTTGACACGCTATCCGCTCAGACGCGTGCGCAAGTGATCTCCGTACAGAGCACCGCGCTTCAGCGATCCTGGCAGGTCGCCATTGCCTTTGGTGGAGTGGGTCTTATTGCTGCTGCTCTGCTGAAGCAGGTACCGCTCAGGAGCGAAAACGACACCGAATTTGGCATGACAGAGAGTAAAGACAAGCCTATGGAGGAGGAAGCGAAAGGTACAGCAAAGGATGAGATTCCAGGATTGTAGTTATATCCATCGCCTAAATGTCAAGAGGGGATGGAAGCCACACATACATAGAATTTCCCAGCGGAATGAACGTTTGGTTCAATACCTAGGTAGCTCAATGATGCAGGTGTATTGGTAACAACTGCTAGCTCATGTACATAAAATCAGAGTCTGAAACCAAACAACACGAGATGATTTCACCAGCGTTCGACCGTGAATTCCAGAAACCGGCCACTACGCTCCTTCACACGCACCTCGACATGGCCCCGGTTTAAAGTGGGGCGACGCTTGCCGATTGGCTAATCTCAAACCCTCCTCGGGGGGTTTACCACGTGACTAACCCGCGCAACAACAGTCAGCCTATCCTGATCAAATCATGCGAACATCTATCCTTTAGCTCGGTTGCTTTCCATTCCAAGGTTCCCATTTCCGCGTCTGTCCAAACACGACACCAACTAAAGGTATGCACAAGTCCGCAGTCCGGCGCTCCGCGTGCGGTAAGTCCTGGCTGTACGAAATGCATGTGAGACATGTACTGACTTCGTACCTCTACCTCTGCAGACCAGTGCAGGGCGAAGCGAGTTCGATGCCTTCGCGCCCAAGACAGCACGGCGGCGTGCGCTCGCTGCTGCTACATGGGCGCGCAATGCGTAACAGGCGCTGCCGGTCATCCGGGAAGACCGCCCAAGCAGCGTCACGCCGTTGCCTCGCCCCGAGCCCATCGCGCGTCGAAGTCACAGGACGCGAACCACGACAACGCCCATACAGCCGGGATGTCGAAGCAGCCCGCGCCTACAAAAGCATACGATCCCGCCGAGCACCTCCCTTCGCAAAGAGACCCTGCCGCTCATGAGCCATTACCAGATTTCTGGGGTGCGACGGGCGATATTTCCGCCTTCTTCGACTCCTATCCATCTTCAATGGATCAAAGTCCCGCGTCGGGTGAGGACAGCGTCTACCTAGCAGATCAGCTTGGCGCTCCATCACAACTCCAGGGACTCCCAGGTGCAGACGACGAATTCGACATCTTGCTCCACATGGGCGCGACCTCTAACACCGCTCTCGATATGAATATCGACCCGCTCCTCAATTTTGGGGAGGAGATTATGCCGCCAACACCACTACCACAGATTTCCAGTCCGGCAAGCTCTCTAGTAATGTTCCGTGAGGAAATAGACCACCGCATTACGACTATTGACGCATACTATTCAAACGCCGCTAAAGTCCAACAGCGTTGCAAAGATGATGCTGTGGGGGGAGATGTCGAAAATCCAGCAGCTCTACTTCTGACATGCACCAAAGAGTTCACCGGGATAATTCAAAGCCTGACACCGACTGTTCAATTGTACACGCAGACCGAGGATACACTCAACACGGAAACTCTGCTTCTGGTCCTGTCAAGTTACCTTGCGTTGATGAGGCTCTTCGACTCACTTTTCCAGCGCATACACAAATACCTCTGCCACGTGTCGCCGGAATCGTATAGATCCATCAAAGTCAAATCAGTACTCCGCATTGGTGGTGTCTCCGCACTTCAAGACATGCCCCTCAAGGCGTATGCCACAGGCATCTTGGACGCTATTCAGTGCCAGGTGCAGACACTAGAGTGTCGCATGGGCATTCCAGCCGAGTACTGCCTCTCGGGCGAGGCAGCCTTCTCATCTAGTGCGGGCGCCTCGGGAATATTTTCCAGTCCATCCCGACTCCGATTGTTTTGGGCCGTTATGGCACAGGAGGATGTCAAATCACTGCATGGTAGCAAGTCGTACGTAGAGTCGATCCGAGCTAGTATCAAGGAGTCAATGTCATTCCTTGATGACTAGAACGAGTCGTAATGGCCTATGGCCACTTTTACTTGCGTCTAATTTTCATACAGAGGATACACTAGCTTCTGCGCTGAGACTTCCTTTCGCTGCAAGACTCCCAGTCCATCAATAACCTTTGCTAATCCGCCCGGATTGATCTGCATAGGATGTGGTTTCAATCTTTTGGACTCAAGCAACGCGGCGAAGCGCTTGATCCACCCATGAAGCCAGTCATGCAGTTCGGGGTTTGCCTTGCGATAGTACCCTCCTGGCAACTCCAACTCCAATCCGGCCACCTCCAAGCCCATGACCCAAGATGGCTTGACGGCCTTCCTCATTGTGGCCATGAGATCATCCGGTAAGAGCTCAAATCCAATGTATCTACCACCACCACGTCCGATGGCTGCGTAGCACTGACGGATAGACCTCGCTTCGGTAATGATGTCTAGTGCATATTCCAAGGAGTTCTTAGTGTAGGCTCGTATATCTTCTCCACATGTCGGCGAGTGGTAGTCAAACGCCTTCTCGGCTCCGTACTCTTCGACTAGTTTGAAGTTCTTAGGAGAGCAGGTTGTGATGACTCGATAGCCCGACCTACGAACACGTTAGATCAATCATCACACGCTCACGACACTTCGCAGTGAAAGGGAAACCATGGGTCACTCACATCTTCAACAGCTGCATGGCAAAGGTTCCACTGGCAGTGGAACCACCATAGACCAGAACGAATTTGGGGTCTTTCGTCGGTTCTTCGGGCGTTCCAGACAGCTTCATTTCCCACCAAAGCGCCATTCCCACGCTGCTGGCCACAGCACACCCTATCGAAGCCGCCTGCTCCCAAGAGAAGTGGTCGGGAACACGCCACAGGTTGTCAGGCTTCTCCGCGATGTAGTCAGTGAAGGCACCCGACCAGGGTCGTCGAGCCTGGGAGGCCATCTGAGCGCCAGCAACACGGTCGCCAATTGTCAGACCGCCAGGGGTACTGGCAACAGTGTCGCCAACGCGCACGACTGTACCTGAGAAGTCGCAGCCGTCGACCGTGTTGGGACAATGTATTCGTGCTGGCATCTTGTAGTCGCTACAGGGGTAGACGTACGAAGTCAGTATATGTCTTAAAATGCATTGCACAAAGCGATGACTTACCAGTGGTTAACCGCCACTGCGCTCACCTTGATGAGAACATGGTCAGGTGACATGGTTGGCATGGGCAGGTCAGTGCGGAGGTCAAAGGCTCCGGGTGTCGTGGCTGACTGCACGACAGCTTGCCGCAATGGGGGGAGCGCTGGGAGAATTGATGTTGCCATTGTCTGGTACTCTGTAGAGAAGTGCAGTCCCAGTATGCCGGGTCACTTGGATTCATGGCGTCCCCAAGATGCAGCTCACTGCTTTTCACTCTGATAGTAAGCTTACTACATCTCTCTCAGCCCAGGCGGGAGATACTCTAGAGTGGTAGCTATTGGTGCTCTTCGGGAGTTCGGAAGTTGAATGAGCAGGGTCGGGACTTTCCAGAGCTAGCGAAGTACATACCAAGAGTTTTCGGGACTTTTTGTAGTGGTTGTGAGAAAGAGAAACACCTTGAATTCATGCTTGACCCGTATAATGAAGGTAATACGCGAGCAAAGTCCGTTGTTCCAGCCGACTTACCGCAGTAATCAGGGACTAGCTCAGCTCTGGTGTCATGTCGAAAATGTTCACGACCCTCGTCCTTGCGTCGTTCTTCTCACTTTTCACCGCCGCAAACCTGCATCAGTTACCTTTAGGTTCCTCGGAATTTCCCGTTGATGACGACCTGAACCCAAAATGGGACGACGAATCCTGTACCGTCAGTAGGAGCACAGCTTTCGAAGTGCTCGACGGCCCCAACAGCTTTTCCTCATCTCCATCCGATCCCATCAACTCGATCAAAATCAGCCCACTCATCAATAAGACCAACTGGGAGCAATGGGAGTTCGATGGCATGTCCCACACGGGCGTTTCCCTGTTGGCGATAATGTTCTCACGGGACTATTCGATGCACTACTTCGGCAGAGGCAACCTGCGAGTGGACTTTTTCGCCAACACTGGAGACGGCAAGCACCACAAGATGCTTGAGTACCTCGAAGAATCTACCATACTGGACTGTCCTGGCTATACCTACGGTATCTGGAATAGTACGGGTAAATTGTACTCATTCTATACCACCAAGGACCTCAAGTATAGCAAGCTCGTGTTCGATTCGCCAGGCATACGCGGCACATACAAGCTATCAGCCACCACGCCACCCGTTCACGCAGACGGCTCGACACCAGGTGCAGAGGGCGAGAATGCAGCAGACGCCGCGCTACTTTCACCCGACCTCTACTACAGCCAGCCTGTCGCTGGTGGCGAGGTGGTCATGGACAGTGTTCTGGGTTCGGGCCAAAAGCTATCCTTCAGCGGCAGAGGCGGCTCAACCCGTCTCTGGGCCAAAGACGGCTGGCTTCCGTTAACGGAGAGCTGGGTAGCTTTACGTCTCTGGGCAGGGCCCTACACCATCGCCTACTGGCACGTGGTATCACGCGTGGGCGAAGACCTGGGCAAGAAGTTCACCTCCGCCGTTCTCTTCTACAACGACGAGCTTCTAGTAGGCACGCGCGTTGGAGATGTCTCCGAGACCGAGGACTACTTCTTAGACACGTATAACAGCGGTGGTGAATGTGGAGGATCGTATCACGATAACAATACCGGTGGTATCTTTGAGTTTGTGTCGCCGGCTCAAGGCAAGAAGTGGCGGTTCGAGACCCAGCACATGCTGATGTGGTTTGAGCTGGGTATCGGTGAAGGCCTTGGTATGAGTGACTTTGCGGACCGTGTTGTTGGCGGCGAGGTTGGTGGGCCGCAATATGAAGGGCGTGGATTGACCGAGCAGGCTAAGTTTCCGCTATACATTCCTCAGTGGGTCGTTTGGCTCTTGTATGGCGTGGGATTCTTGGGGACTAAGAAGGACTATGCTGTTGACTTTGTCAGGGCTTGGTCGCCGTGGTGAGGGAGCTGGGACATACCTAGGTATGATGACTGGTAATGAATGAAGTATTGCAGTAGGCTGGGAGAACTTGATCGTGCGATGCTAGATACGGTGGCTGGGTATATACCGTATGCAGTTTAGTAGTACTTCAATAAACTTTGCTGTCCCCTATTTCAACATCTGTCAGAACTGGGCACTAGCGTATCTGGTACGTCATGATGACGTATATCGGCAGCATGGCGGCCTTTCCTGTAGCGACCTTCTACATGATGAGCAGCAGTGGTCTGAAGTGATAAACTCCCGTTTGGAGATCAAAACACCGAGACATTTGGGTCGCGCATTGGTCACATATGGGTCGCATAGTAACAAATAACTCGATCTCAAGAAGTACAGAATAACAGCTTCAAGTATCTAGATACTTGCGAGCCTTTCAATCACCATCATCTCTCCCCTTCCAATCATACCAAGCCGTAACATAAACCGCCTCCCCCCCTTTCTTCAACCCCATCTTCCTCATCAGTCTTCTCTCCCCATTCAGCATTCCAAACCCCCAAATCTGTTCCATAACCCAGCCCCTAGTCTGATGAACAACAAGATCAAACAAGAACTCCTCCTCACCCTCTTTCCCCTCTCGCAGGAAGTCCTTCGTCAACAACGCATCCAACGGCTTGCCGTCATACCCAGTAGCAGTATCAAAGCAGATCATGCGAGTCCGAGCGGAAGACGTGCCGAACAGAGACGACGAGTGAAGTTGTTCTCGTCCGTCCAACCACCGCGTTTCTATCTCTTCGCTCAGACCGGCGATGGCGACGGAGGCGGCCTGCGTGAATATCACGGTTGGGACGCCGGATTCGTCGACCGAGTGGGCGATTTTCATGGTTAGAGTCGCGAGGCTGATTACTTTGCGGATTATCCAGGGGATGCCTTGGAGGACGAAGGCGGAGTCGAACGAGTCGGATAGGGTTTTGTTCTGGGGTTGTTAGTGGATGTTGGACGGTTTGGGCGAGGCGACTTGGAGGGTGTCTGGGTTGATTTACTAGTAACCAGGAACCTGTGAAGTCGTGCATCGTGACCTCTGGAGGGGCAGCCATCTTGGTTTGGATAGTGAGTGAATCTAGGTATGGGTATGCGTGGTGTAGGCTGTAGGTTGCGTGCCTAGATAGGCAGCTTACGTATCTAGCTGGTTCGCTTGATTTGACTGGGCTGGTGAAATGAAGAAAATGGTAATAAGAATCAAGAATAAAGATGTTAGAGATGACACCGGAGCCTCGTCGACATGCTGCCCATGTCAACGGCGTGAAGTGGCTGGCCGGACATGTAAAGTGCCGTTTGCGAAAGTCCCGAATTCGGTAATACACGACAGGCAGCACAACGAACTCAGTAGTGCCATATCAGCCCCGAATCGGAACTTGCAAGCAAGATCGAGATCAATCGGGTGTGTAGCTTAGGTACCGAAGCAATTCGAGGCCCGCCAAATCGTTGCGAGAAAAGTACCCGCGGAAACGTTGACAGAGCGCTTCAGTTTGTCAAGCAGAGAAGCAACCAAACTCTTCCTATTGTAGTTCCACTCTGTCTCACAGTACCAACAGAGCGAACTCCAAAACAGCGCGCATCAATCTCGCGCAAAACCCACCATGTTCAAATTCTTCAACAACCCCATCCTCGACTTCGAGCTGACCCGTCTCCTCGGCAGCACCTCAGCCGGCGGCTGCGACACAGCCGAGTTCCTAACGGCAGCCAGCAAGATCAAGAAGAACGACCCAGAGTCCTGGCATGCGGCGTGGAAAGAACAAGGAGAGCGGGCTGAAGCAATCGCAGAGAATGCTGCTAAGAACGGGCTAAGCGCCATGGCGAAGAACGGGTACCTGCGCGCGTCGAACTATTTCCGCGCGGCTTCGTACCTGTTTCTCAACGATGATGCGAGGGTTGTGCCGTTGTCGGAGAGGTCGGTTGAGGCTTTTGTGAGAGCGACGGCGTTCATGGAGGGGGAGGTTAGGTTGGTGGATGTTCTGTATGAGAAGGGTGTCAATATGCC